TTTAAAGATTTTTTTTTTTTTTTTTTTTTTTAAATTTTCAGAGAGAGGGGAAGAGAAAGGGAGAAAAAAAACATTGACTGTCTGCCTCCTACCAGGGATCGAGCACTCAATCCTGGGCATGTGCCCTGACCAGGAATCGAACCAGTGACCTTTCAGTGCATGGGATGACATCCAACCCCCTGAGCCAAACCGGGCAGGGCATGCCTTCCAATACTTTGCCTAAAGAGTAAAATCTGGCTGTCAGCTTTCTCAGGACCTAGTGCAGGAAGGGGGCTGGGGAGCCTCCGCATTCCATACTTCATATGTTTACAGTCACTTAACCCCTGCTTGTGGAGCAGTATCCACGGTCTCAACTGTACCGGGTGCCCTCTGTTTTGTCCCCCCCAGAAAACAAAACTGTCGCCTTCTACTAAGGAGGGGAGGAGTATCCCCTACTGGATTCGACTAGGGGAGGGAGTCTGGGGGTTTGTTTCCCAAACAGGTTTTCCCACACTTCTTCCTCCCGCTTCCATGGAGACCTTAGCCGCTGGTTCCTGAGCCTTCTGAGGATTCACTGGGGTAAACCGGCTGGTCCTCCACACTCCGCTCTCCGGGCTTAGCTTTCAGCTTTCTAGGATCTGTTTTCAGTCATCCGTCATCTGATTGCTTTTGGATTCCAAAATGTGGTGTTATCTCTTTTTCTGTTCTCTCTGACCATGTAGGGTTTTCTAAAGCTCTCCATGCCCTGGCCAGTGTTGCGCAGTGGTTAGAGCATCGTGCCACGCACCCAAGGGCCATGGGTTTGATTCCCAGACAAGGGCACGTACCTGGGTTGCAGGTTTGATCCCCCCCATCAGGGCACGTGCAGGAGGCAACCAGTCGATGTGGCTCTCTCACACTGGTATGTCTCTCTCCCCCTCCCTCCTACCCTTCCACTCGCTCTAAAAATCAATGGAAAATTTAAAAAATAAAGTAAATAAAAATTAAAAAATAAAAATCAATGGAAAAAATATCCTCCAGTGAGGATTAACAAATAAAAGCTTAAAAAAAATCTCTCAATGTAGTTCTAATCAGGTTTGGGGAGGGAGTGAAATTAGATGGGTTTGTCCACTCCACCGCCTTAATTCAGAAGTCCCTCGAAACACTCTCTTCAGTGGGCTTCAGTGACACCATTCTCCTGAGTGTCGCCTTAGTTCTCTTGAGGTTCAGCTCTCGTCTCTTGCTGGGTCCCCCCTGCTCTGTGTGACCTCTACAAGTTTCAGGGCCTCTGGGCTTCAGTCTCCTCCTTTTTTTCTGTATTCACTTCTCAAGTGGCCCCCTCTAGTCCTAGGGTCCTGAGTGCCATTGGTGTGCATGTACTTGCCAAATTTATACTTCCAGCGGGACCTTCCTCCTGAATTCAGAGCCGCCTCCTTAGAGCCTTCCCTTGGATGTCCCCAAACCATCTCATTTTATCCCCCCC